ACACGTGAAGGGGCAGGACCCTGAGGGGGGAGGGGGTCTACCGGGGGGGGACCTAGCACAAGGAAGAGCGGTGGCGGGGGGAGGGACCGAGTGCAGTAAGGGAAGAGACGGTAGTAGGGGACCGACTCGTCGAACATGACGTCCTAGGAGGACAGAACACGGCGAGAGGTGGGGTGGTAAAACTGCCACCCTGGCGCGTCAGGGGGGAAACCCAGGAAGACGCAAGGAGCAGCACGAGGGGACAGCTTGTCCGCAGACAAGTCGCGGACAAACGCCCGAGATCCCCAGACACGGAACGCAGACGCATCGCCAACCTTCCCCGTCCACAACAAGGCTGGGGAGGTCTCCGGCATGGAGACCCTGGGCTGAAGGTTGATCTAATGCGCCGCGTACCGGACCGCAAACGGCCACAGAAAATGGGGGGCAGCCGCATGCATCATGGACGTACGAGCGACGTTCATGACCATGCGAATGCGGCGCTCAGCAATCCCATTTTGCTGTGGAGAGTCCGGAAGCGTGAAGGTCTGGCGGATGCCTCGTGCACGACAGTAGGCTCGCAGAAGGCCAGAGGAGAACTCTCTGCCACTGTCAGAGTGCAGACGCAGAACAGGAAAGTCCGAGCCGAAGCTCCGCCTGAGCTGGAGACGAGCTGCGCGGATCCAGTCGATCAACACCTCAGTGATATCACCCTTGCTGCGCAAGGGGAAGAGTGTGGTGTAACGCGAGTAGTCGTCAACCACCAGCAGGAAGTAGCGCTCGTGACCCTGTCCACGGACGTGGGCCGAGCCCCACACGTCCATGTGAAGCGTCTGCAGCGGGGCCTCTGTTGGAGGAAACTGGGAGGAGTGAGGGGCAGCCCGCTGCCGCCCCTCGACACAGGGGACGCAGGTAGGGCCAGGCCCGGGAGGAAGGGGAGGGAGGGACCGGGGAAGACCAGAGACAAGGACACGGGAGGCCATGCTTCGGAGACGAAGCAGGGAGGGGTGACCAAGGCGGTGGTGCCAGAGGAGAGTCTCGTGAGACAGGAGGCGACACGAGCAGGGGGCAAACTCAGGACCAGACCTAGACGCTGCAGCAAACACCTGACCCGACGCAGTGACTGGAGGAGACGCAGTGGTAAGTGTGTACAGGCTCAACCCCGGCCGACGAGTAAACGTGGCCAGGTGTCGGCCTGTCCGAGTGTCCGTGCAGTGGGTCACCCGCTGACTCGCAGGATTGAACTGGTGAACCCCCGCATCCTGCAGGTCAGCACCACTCACCAAGTTCGTAGAGAACGAGGGGAGGTAAAGACCAGACAGGGTGCTAGAGGGGGACGGCGGACACAGGAGGACAGTGGAGAAGTGAGCAAGGACAGGGCCCCTAGAGGGGTCTGCCAGAGAGACTGCAACTGGCCAACCAAGCGGCGTGAGTGTGGTGCGGTCTCGAAAGAAGGAGCGGGAAGCCCCCGAGTTAAGGGTGAAGGTGTGAGAAGCCAGAGCCGACGCGGTACCTGAGAGAGCAGACTCACCCGCACCTGAGGACGCAGACTCACTAGCACCTAGAGCAGCAGCCGCACCTATACGTGGAGCAGGAGACACAGTAGCACCCAGAGCAGCAGCCTCACCAGCAGCTAGAGCAGCAGGCTCTATACCCGGGTCAGGCGGTACGCAAAGGTGACCGGCATGGTCAGCACTAGTAGGCAATGCATACATGGCAGTGAGAATAGCATCATAGTCAAGAGCAAATATATCTACCCTCTGCCTAAGCAACTCCACCCAGTCGGGGAGCTCAGCCTCGTCGCCAAACTCGGTACGCCAGGCGTCGCTCAGACGGGCGAAGCAGCGGGTCTGTGTGTGACTAGGCGTCCCACAAGGCTGACCAGTCCGAGCACCAGTGCGAATCATGTAAGAGCAGCGAACAGACCTGAGAGACCCTCTACTCTGAGCGTACCACTCACGAAGCTGCTGGGGCGTGAGAGACGCGCGTGGGGGTCGCTGGAGCTGCATTTGGCCGCCGCGAGTAGTAGTAGCAGCAGTAGCGCCGCCACCCCTACAACCCCAACCAGCGTACCACTAACGGAGCTGCTGGGGCGTGAGGGACTCACGCGGACGTCGCTGGGGCTGCATCTGGCTCCCCTAGCAGAAGCAGGAGCAGGAGTAGCAGCAGTAAGGCAGGCAGCCAAGCAAGCGGCAGGTAGCGCGCTAGTAAGGCAGGGGCTCACCAGTGGTGGGAAGAGCAGGCTCGACGACTCGGCGACTCGGCGGTGCGGGCGGCTCGGGCGGCACGGCGGCACTGCAGTAACTGCGGCTCGGGCGACTCGGGCGGCTCGGCGGCTCGGGCGACTCGGGCGGCTCAACGGTACGGCGGCTCAGCAGCAACTGCAGCTCGGCGGCTCGGGCGGCTGAGGTAGCGCTGCGGCTCGGGCGGCTCGGGTGGCTCGGGTGGCTCGGCACTAGCACGGCGGCGCCGGCGGCTCGGTGGTGACGGCGGGGCCGCGTGGGGACGGCGGCGGGGCCGGGTGGAGCGGCGACGGGGCCAGCAGAGGCGGCGCCAGGGCCGTAGGGTAGGCGACCGGGCCAGCAGAGGCGGCGCCGGGGCCGGGAAGGGCGGCGTCGGGGCCGGGGAGGTAGGCGACGGGGCCGGGAAGGGCGGCGTCGGGGCCGGGAAGGGCGGCGTCGGGGCCAGCAGAGGTGGCGCCGGGGCCGGGAAGGGCAGCGCCGGGGACGCAGGGGTAGGCGACGGGGCCAGCAGAGGCGGGGCCGGGTCGGGAAGAGCGGCGTCAGGGTCGCCGGGGTAGGCGACGGGGCCAGCCGAGGTGGCGCCGGGGCCGGGAAGGGCCGAGCCGGGGCCGCAGGGGCAGGCGACGGGGCCAGCAGAGGCGGGGCCGGGTCGGGAAGGGCGGCGCTGAGGCCGTAGGGGTAGGTGACGGGGCCACTAGGGCGGCGGATCGGGGCCGCGAGGGCGGCGCGACGCGGCCGCTAGGGCAGCGCGACGGGGTAGCGGGGCCGCGCGCCTCGGGGCGCGCGCCAGATGGAACCGAGTTGGCGCCAAGTGCGGAGCTTCTGTCGCGCCGCGATCGAAGCCGCGATTGGCTCGAAATGAGCGCGCAGACATGCGCACCACTCGTCCCACGTGCGATACTGGGGCACCTCCACGAAATACGACGGCGCCCAAGGTCCGGTTTGTCCTTCCCGTGTCGGTAGAGTTGCGTAGTCTAACGGCTTCGTGACGATGACGCGCCACCAATCCGTAGCGGGTCCTCGCAGCAACGACACAGCGTATCGGATTTTCGCCGTATCCTCCGAGACGTAGTTGGCGTCGAAAAATACGTTCATCGTGAACAACCACGCCTGAACGATAGGACCACCCCGTTGGCTGGGATCGAAGCATGGCGGACGCTGCGGCTTCAGCGGCATCGGTGACGGTAGTGCCGACCCGTCGGTTGGTGCGGAAATTGTGACGCGTGGCTGGCTTCGGGCCGCATTCGTCGCTCCGGGGTGCGTCGTGCCGTGGTCGTCGTCTCCGTCGGGGCGGACGACGCCATCACTGGCCGCGCTCGCGGGTTGCCCCACGCTTCCGTGTTGTGATGCCTGTGGTGCGGGCTGTTCCGGAGTGCCAGGTGCTTTGGATTGTGCGTGTTGCGCTCGTGTGAGGTCATTTTGTAGGGACGAGCGTTTTGCCGTCAGTCTCGCGATTTCCTCGGCGCTCTCGCGGATTTGTCGCAGCAGATTGTTCAAGTGCTCCTGCGTGAGAGTCATGACGTTGATATGTTCAGCCATTTCGAAGGGCGTCAGCTCGTCTTAGTCTAGGCGCAGTGGTAGCTGCACGCGTTTACGAGAGAACGCGAAGACAGCGGCTCGTAGGTGCTAAGGTACGTGAGTCCCTTCGAGTGAAAAATCAAAAGTTGATTTCCTGGGGTGTGGAGATGCGCGGTCCGAAAGAAAGGGGCTCTGATACCAAGTGTTACGGGTGCAATGAATCGAAGTAGCGAGAATTGCACTAAGGTGTCAAACGAGTACAAAGATGTGATCGAAGGCATGAGCGAACATTTATACGCGAAACATGCAAACGGTAACGCGATGCGTGCGAGCTAGCTAGTGCTATGCTGGCAGCGAGGCTCGGGCTAGTCTCGAAGCGTAGGCCGACACGGCCGGGCCAGCAGTGCGAGGTTTGGCAAAACAGTGCGCGCGAAGCTGGCGAAGTCCCGTTAGCAGTAACGGGTGAACATCAGCTGTTGCTGTACGCGATGTAGTCGGGCTCCGTAAGGAATGCCGAGAAAATTCCTTACAACATTCTTGAAGTTCATGCAAGCAATGTGCCTTACTGCTTTAGAAATCCTTGTACGAAGTGTACTAGAGCACTCCAGTTTGCAGCTGGAGCTGGCGCTGATTTCCAAGGGCACGTGGCGCTGATGCGAGACTCGGACAGGCTTGTGTGACTTGTGATGGAGTTGGTGGCAGCTGGAATTTCGCTCTTCCCAAGGCTGGCTGTGCGGCTCGAGTCGGCGCTTTCCCCCATCTGGCGTCAGGCATCACCAAGCCAGCTTCACATTCGCGCCCACTGCGATCTGTCGCCCACACCAAAGCATCGCCCATCGACCGTCGCACCCGTCGATATCGTCGCCTGGTCTGGTCACCCCTCCTAAACAACTCCTTTCTTTCAGATTCAAAATTCTTGATCCCTTAGTAGTTGCTGCTGCTATATTGCCTTTTGTGCTCTGTTGAGACTATCTATCCGCTTCTCTTCACAGACTTGCATTAGGTGGTAGACAGGTTCTTTAGTCGTAGTTTCTCGACATCTTAGAACCATGGTGAAGATCTGCTGCATAGGCGCTGGCTATGTGGGTGGTCCCACCATGGCCATGATCGCGTACAAATGCCCAGAGATTAAGGTCACCGTGGTGGACATAAGCAAGCCTAGAATCGCTGCGTGGAACAGGTATGTCGGTTTGTCATTCTTCCAGCGTTCCGTCGCTGAAGCCAATACGCGCGAATCAACATCCTATCCTTTTGTTTTCACAGTGATAATCTGCCTATTTTCGAGCCTGGACTCGACGATGTCGTGAAGTCTTGCCGCGATAAGAACCTGTTCTTCACGACTGACGTGGAAAAGAGCGTCGCTGAGGCCGACATTATCTTCGTATCCGTGAATACACCAACCAAGGTACATAAGACAATGCAGAATCGTCAAGAAGCCTGAGGAATACATATAATGTCGGGGGTCATGACAGCCATTCGATCCTTCTTGACATTTGCAGACCAGGGGGTTAGGAGCTGGTCGGGCAGCCGACCTGACCTATTGGGAAAGCGCGGCGCGGATGATCGCTGACGTTTCTACCTCTGACAAGATTGTGGTTGAGAAATCCACTGTTCCCGTAAAGACCGCGGAAGCTATTGAGAAAATTCTTACACATAACACGAAAGGCATCAAGTTCCAGGTAACAAGTCATTTCCAATCCAAAGGCCCCGTTCTCACGTCCGTTCCAACCACTCACTAATTTGATCTGTATTGTCGCTAGATTTTATCGAATCCCGAATTTCTAGCGGAAGGCACTGCCATAGCAGACCTCGACAAGCCCGATCGCGTTCTTATCGGTAAGATCCAGCGATTTTTACCCTTCGTTACCTTCTAAATTTATTTTCTTGAAAACAAGGCAACCAGTTGTTTGCTGTGTACTGTTTCATTCATTCAGGTGGTCGCACGTGTGAGGAAGGCAAGGCTGCAGCAGCTGCTCTTGCTGCAGTCTATGCTCACTGGGTGCCTCAAGAAAACATCATTGTGACCAACCTCTGGTGAGAGACTTGATGGAATAACGTTAGCAGAACCAGCCATTCAGTAGCAGATGTTCCGGGGTGCTTTTTCTTACATCCACGCTCACGCATGCCTCCTCAGGTCCGCTGAGCTGACCAAGCTGGCAGCGAATGCGTTTCTTGCTCAGCGCATTTCATCAATCAACGCTATCTCCGCCCTGTGCGAGTCCACTGGGGCTAACGTCTCAGAAGTGGCTTACGCCATTGGAAAAGACACCCGCATTGGCTCCAGATTCTTGCAAGCCTCTGTTGGTTTTGGTGGCTCCTGCTTCCAGAAGGTACTTTCCTCTTCCTCCAGCATCCCTCTCTTTCCAACACCCCCACACCTACCTCCCATCCCTCTTGTCCCCTCCGCTTCCCTCCTTCAACTGCATTCCTTCTCTCTCAAAAAAACAAGTCGTGAGCTTTGCACACGCTCATGCACATTGCATGCTGACACACAAGCACTCTCACGCCAAAGGCTGCTTTGCCTCCAAGTCCAGCACCATACTCACCTGCCCTGGTCACAACCCTACAGGACATTCTGAACCTTGTCTACATTTGCGAGTGCAATGGATTGATGGAGGCTGCTCATTATTGGAAATCGGTGATTGACATCAACGAGTACCAGAAGTCAAGATTCATCAGCAGGATCGTGTCCTCCATGTTCAACACCGTTGTCAACAAGAAGATTGCTATTCTCGGGTTTGCCTTCAAGAAAGACACAGGAGACACCAGGGAGAGCCCTGCCATAGATGTTTGCCATGGGCTTCTCAGGGATCAGGCTGACGTCAGCATCTATGACCCACAAGTAAGGGCAATTTCTTATGCACGATCACATATACTCAGCTTGTGCTTATGAAACTAGGGGAGTGTAACAAGGCTCTTGCTTGTGTTTCCAGGTGACTGAGGAGCAGATCAGGCGTGACCTGTCCATGAACAAGTTTGACTGGGACCATCCGTACCACCTGCAGCCAGTCAGCCCAAGAGTCCACCAGAAGGTAAAGTCATTGCACAAACTATGAGCTTTCATCTTCACTGTGTGTTTAGCCCCCTCTCTCACTGACTGTAAAACGAGCCGTGTAGGGAGGCCTTAAGGAGCACATGAACTGTGGTATCACCATGCACTCTAATCGCGCCCTCACATCGTTCCTCTGACCGTGTTTGTGAAGATATTTTTTCGTTTCACACTGCCTCCCAATATCCACTGCTCCCTTCATCCCAGGTTTCGGTGTCATGGGATGCATATGGAGCGTGCAAGGGTGCTCATGGAATCTGCATTCTCACAGAGTGGGACGAGTTCAAGACGCTGGACTATCAGGTGGGAATGCAAATGGTTCAACTGGCACATGAACACGCTGCTGCATTACTGTCCATGCTGATTCGCACATCCAATCTGACATCCAAGTTCCCTTCCACCTTGTGTGTTCATGACACCTACGTTGGTGCTATCCCTTCCCACATGCTTTATTCTTCACTGTGGATTAGATCCCCAAGAAATGGTCTCACACCATTTAAAAATCCTTGCCCATTCCAACCCCTTGCATGGCCAACAGAAAATCTATGAGCACATGGAGAAGCCAGCCTTTGTGTTTGATGGCCGCAACATTGTGGATGTGGCAAAGCTGAGGGAGATTGGCTTCATCGTGTTTGCTATCGGACACGCGCTAGACCCCTGGGTGAAGGATCTTCCTTCCATGCACTAGGCCGTGCGCTGAGGACGTTGACCAGCACCCTATGGAGTCACCCAGGTGCCTGGGTGGTTAGGACATACCGTACAGGTATCAACTAGCTAGGACATGGAATTTACATAGCCTTGCATATTGACAGACACTTATACAAGTGATACCGTACTACCGTATCTCTTATGACGACATTGACCTTACAAAAACGGCTGTAGTGGGCAAGCAACCAGCTGCGCGTACCTAAACAGCTGAGTTCAACTAGCACCATTCGGCATACAGCATCTTGGATCAAATGAAGACAAATGCAACACCCTCGGGGGACAGAACAAATTGAAACTCTCTGCTGGCAAATTGAAACTCTCCGCTGGCAAATTGAAACTCTCCACTGGCAATTTCTCCTAGAATCGGCATTTCGCCCACAACCTCCACTCGCATGTGTCCACATCACCATTCCATACTTATTTCATCCAACGGAGAATACACCCGTAAGAACTTTCTCACAAGCAGCGCCACGATAGCAACCACAATTGCTGCTGCCAGAGTGTTCAGCACTCTGTCCTCTCCTGCTGCCCCTCCAGCTCGTCCCCGACCCTCTGCTGCACGTGTTGCCTGCGCCTGATTCTGTGATTGCCCTGCCACTACTCCTGCTGTTCCTGCTCTTGCTTCCACGGCCCAAGGGCCTACTGCTGCTGCTGCACTTGGTTGCCTGGGCTCTGTCATAGTTTGTGGTGGTGGTGGTAGCAGTGGCTCAGTCAGGGAGTGTTCAGCAGCAGCAATGGATGCACCTGCTATTGCTGCAGCACCTGCAGTTGCACCTGCTGGCACCACTTGATCTGCCGCAGCGGCAGCTGATGCAGCTGACTCTGAACCACCAGCAGGGACAGATCCTGCTTGTGCCTGCAGGAGGGGAGCTAAAGAGCTGGCCCCTGAACAAGCAGGATCGGAAGATACAGCAAGGCCCGTCCCTGTCTCATTAAGGCCGACCGAGTCAGAGGAAGAGCTGGGAGCCGAACCTAAAGTAGCAGGTGCGGAGGATGTGGACGGTGTGTCGCCTGGCTGTGCTGCTGCTGGCAGAGGCACTAGGGAGCCTAGAGAAGGCTGCTCCGCAGAAACGTCGGTGGAAGAGGGAAGCACGAGGGGGGAAGCTGAAGACGTACCAGAGTCAGCAACAGCAGTGGCAGTCACTGGTTGGGCAGCAGGAGGAAGAGCAGAGTCAGAAACTGTGTCTTGGGGGGTGTCGGGAGCCTTAAAGCTAGGAGAAGAGGCGGAATGCAAAGAGGCAGGGATAGGTGGTGCCGTTTGCAGCATGGCTGCGTGAATCTGATCAATCACTTGTTGCCGCCCGGGACTCCCAAATTTGGGTGGCGCGAGTCGGGATTTGATTGCGAGCTTGCGGCGCTCGTCCTTGGGGTAATCCAGTGAGCCCAGTGCGCCATCTGGCTTGGTTGGCATGAATGCTATCAGTGCCACCAGTGCCGTGCGCACTGCCGGGGAGGATGATGGACGTTGGGAGACAAAATGATAAATTATTAGAGAGACAAAGGGAAGAGGGGAAACAACGAGTTTATCCATAGTTCCCTCCAATAGCTCCCTCCTACAGTTCCCTCGTACAGCGGGCATGCACAGACGTGAGACAACATGATCTCTGCAGGTTGGGTGGAAGTGCAAGTGAGATGGGCACAGTAAAGCTCACCACTCCAGGAGGGCTGCCAGTGCTCGGGGTGGTGGTTGGAGATGCTCAGACAGATCTTCGTCTGCACCTCAAAGCGCCCGCTGGGCTGCCACGGGCGACACGCAGAGAGGGCGGAGAGGGCAGAGCGAGCTGAGGGAGCTGTGGAACAGGGAGTGGCAACCCTCTTTCAGAGTGCCTATCGTCTTTGACTAGAGAATACCTATCGCATCTTCAGGCAACACCTGAGGTGCCCCAAAGCAACTTTCAGCGAGTTGTCAGGCGCGTGGCCCTGGGAGCGGTCCACTCACAGTGAGGAGCATGAAGGAGGGCGGCTTGAAGGGGTAGTCGGCGGGCAGCGTGATGCGGCCGTGGTAGATCCCCCCCTCGAACTCCGAGTCCTTGGGGCCGTGGATCGCAAACTGCCACTCGAATATGTCCTCCTGCCGGGGTGGGGCGCGATCAATGCGACGATCAATGCCAGGGACACTCGAATTCGTCCGCTCGACGTTCCGTGAATGCAAGTCGCAGAAGCACACTCGCGTACGACGTTTAAATTCGCAGCATAAGATACGATACGAGGTGATTCGGCAGACGGTGCTACGTGCTGGTCGGACGAACGGTAAACAGGACTTGCGATGGAAATCGTCGGAGGCTAAGGGTGACGACACGGCGATTTGGTTTGGTCACTCTGCGTTGTGAGGTAGGATTCACAACCTGCAGAATTCAGAGAGTTCTGGACTGCACGGTGACTCCCGTACCGTCATTCGCTAAATACCATGCGCTCTCGGCACTCTATTAGACCACTCGCCTGCACGCACGCGTGTACCGCGAGCTCACCTCGAGCGGCATGCTGGTGTACTCCTTGCTGCCCTCCCGCTGCATCTCCTTCACCTCCTGCAAAATCCGCTTCACCGCCGGATTCCGCATGTTGAACTGCTTGCCGTCCGCCATCGCCGCGAGCACGGCTCACGAAAGGTGAGTCAACAGAGGAGACGAGCCGCGCAACCAGCGAAGTGAACGGTCAGACGGGATCAGTGCGTGTCTGCTGGGTCGCGCGCTACTTGATGGCCTGAGTAAGACTCGAAATAGGTATAGGCATGTGGGATGCCAGAGCTTTCTTTGTAGACATGGATTTGCGGAAATGCATGATAGAGATGTTGGTTGCTTGTTGGCAACTTCTAGAAAGACCACCAAGCCTGCTCTGGGCTGGAAGGTCGAACGCGTTAAAGCCCGAAATCTGAATTACAAAAAATGGAAGGCAAACTGTGCACAGTTTGCCTACCTAACCCACAAATGACCTCCCGAGCCAGGCTGGTTACCAGAAAACATTGCGCCAAGAAACACAGAGTTCTAGAGTGTTATAAGTTGTGAAAGGAAAGAGTGCGCAGAACTCAATAGTGCGGAAGTGATTACAACGTCTGAATGAACAACGAGGCCTAGGCATAATATAGCAAGTTTAGCTAGGCCGAGGTCGCGGGGTCGCGGGATGGTTGGGTGTAGGTTCGGGGTTGGAAAACCCGAAAGCGACGCGGTGGTGGCTCGGAATGCGAGGTCGGCGGGCCGAGCCTGGTTTTCCGAAAGTCGGAGTTGTACGCGTACAGTGTGACCCAGTAAGGAATCCGGAAAATTCCTTACACTACCCCACCCTTTAAGAAAGGTGGTGAATATCCGAAACACCTTGGCGGGCGAGGTAAGCGTCCAAAACCGGGTGTCCCAGAAGCGAGTCAGCAGCGACATACGCGTCGTCCTCGCTCGTGCGGTCTTTCCAGCGAAGCAGCAATTTCACTGAGCGGCCAGCAGCAGTCACGTCCACGCGATGGTTGAGAATTTTCCAGGGTTCCAGCGTGGGCTCTGCCACGGGGCGAGTGGTCGGCGTGAGGGTCGGTCGAGCAACAGTTGGCGACTGCGGCTGTTCGTAGTGACGCAGCAGGCTGACGTGGAAGGCGTCATGTATCTTCCAATCGTCGGGCAGCAGCAGCTTCGCGGTGACAGGTGTCACCATCTGGATGATCCGAAAAGGTCCCACGTAGCGGGGCCGTAATTTCGCGGGCTGCGGCAGCCGAAGGTTCTTGGTGTCCAGAAGTACAACTTGCCCCGGGCGGAAGGGTAAATTCCGTCGGTGTTTGTCCGCCTGACGACTGGCCGTGGTATTAGCTTTGCGAATGAACTCGGCTGCTTTCGTTCGGGCGGTTTGCAGTTCCGTGACAAACTGCTGCGATCTTGGTACCGGGTTGTCCACAGTCGTGGAAGAGGGTACCACGGGGTCTATCCCGTGATTCAGGAAAAAGGGTGATTGTTTAGTCGTGGCCGATGGGGCGTTGTTGTACGCGAATTCCAGCATCGGCAGCGAATCTTCCCACTTGCGAATGTCGGGGCAGTTGGTGCGAATCAGCTGCTCCATGGTCTGATTTGTCCGTTCCGTCTGTCCGTCGGTCTGCGGGTGGTATGACGACGAAAACTGCAGGCGGGTACCGTACTGTGCCCACGTTTCCTGCCAGAATTTCGACGTAAATTTCGGATCACGATCGCTGATGATCGCCGAAGGTAACCCGTGTAGGCGTACGACGGTGGAGATGAATAGTTTGGCTATATCTTCGGCTGTGATCGTCGTTCGGCATGGGGCGAAATGCGCCATCTTCGTTAGGCGATCGACGATGACCAGCACCGAGTCGTTGCCACTTGCGCCAGCTGGGAGCCCCGTGACGAAATCCATCGTCACCTGTTGCCACGGTCGTTCGGGTGGCGCGAGGGGTTGCAGCAGTCCGGCTGGCCTTTGTCGCGACGACTTCATTGCTTGGCAGGTCGGGCAAGTTGATACGTAGCGCTGTACATCGGTCTGCATGTCCGGCCAGTAATAATTCCGCTGCAGCAGCTTCAGTGTTTTATCGGTGCCGAAATGCCCGGAAAGGTTGGAGTCATGAACCTTCTGCGTCAGCAGCTCTCGTAAAGGCTGGTATGCTGGTACCCAAATCGGTTCGTACCGGCTTTTAGGTAGTATTTGCCGTGCGGTGTAGCAGCCTGTTGTTGCGGGTTCCGAAAAAACCTGTCGATCTTGTAGCCGTGTGTGAATAGTCCCGTCAGCATCGGGTTAGTGTGGGCGATTAGTACCGTCGCGTTTTGCATGGTTGGTCGGGTAAGGGCGTCGGCGATGTTGTTGGCGCCCTTTTTGTACGTGATGGTGTACCGGAAATTGGACTCGAGGAAGTCCAACCACCGAATTTGTCGCGGGTTGAGTGTCGGTTGTGTGCGCATGTACTGTAGTGACTTCTGGTCGGTCCGAATTGTCACATCGGCTCCCGTGAGGTAGCAGCGCCAGACACGAAATGCATGAATGATGGCCAGCATCTCTTTGTCGTGGACTGGGTGGTTACGCTCGGGTGGCTGCATCTTGCGTGACTCGTAGGCGATGGGTTGCAGCCCTTGGCCGAAATCCTGTAGTAGGACGGCGCCGACGGCGAAATCGCTGGCGTCCGTGACGACTTCGAACGGTCGAGATGGGTCGGCGAGGCGGAGTACCGGGGGTGAACCAAAAATTTTTTTGAGAGCGTCGAAGGCGGATTGCTCCCTCTCCCCCCACCGAAAATTACTGTCGTGATGCAGCAGGTCGGTCAGTGGCTTGGTTATCCCTGCCATGTTAGGTACAAAACGACGGACGTAGTTAACAAACCCCAAAACACTTTGCAACTCAGGGATATTAGTAGGCGGTTTCCACTTAACGATGGCGTCCCCTTTTAGCGGGTCGATTTTATTCTCGTCGCCAGAGACCACATGTCCCAAAAATTCCAATTCCGGCTTCATAAACTCGCACTTAGACCCCTTTGTAATTAGCCGATGCCCTTGTAAACGCCGGAACACCTCCTCTAAATCCTGCAGATGGTCTTCTTTTGTCGCACTGTACACCAGGATATCGTCCAGGTACACGATGACCTTCTTGTCCAACATGTCTCGAAAAATTCCATTCATGGTGAGCTGGAACGTCGAGGGCGCGTTTGTCAGGCCGAACGGCATCACTGTGAACTCGTAACTGCCGTAGCGTGTGCGAAAAGCGGTCTTCGGGCAGTCGTCGGCGAACACGCGAATTTGGTGGTAGCCTCCTCGCAGGTCGATTTTCGAAAAATACCGAGCTCCGCGAAGTTGGTCCAGCAGATCGTCGGTTCGTGGGATCGGGTAACGTGACTTTGTCGTGACCCAATTCAGCGCTCGATAATCAATGCACATGCGTAGGCCACCGTCCTTCTTCGGCGTGAACAGTATCGGTGCTGCATACGGCGACGTGCTGGGTCGGATAAATCCCTTGGCGAGCAGGTAATCCAGCTGGGCTCGCAATTCGGCGAGCTCTGGTTGGCTGAGCCGCCACTGTGACCGAACAGTGGGTTGCGCCCCTGGCTCCAGCTGGATCCGATGGTCTTCAGGTTGTTGGGGGGGCAAGCCATCCGGGAGGTCATCCGCGAAAATTTCGGGATACCTCCGAATGATGCTCGCCAATTCCTCGGGGACTGCTGCGCAGAGGGTGTCGATGTCCGCGATTTTTTCGGAAGCTGCCACCTCGTACAGATGCACCAAGAAGGCCTGAGCTCCGCCGTTCATCGCACGCTGCATGTTGACCGCGTTGACACGTGTCGTCACCGGCTCCGGCTCCGTCCATTTCGGAAGCGTCGTCTTCCCTCCGTATCCTCGCACGACGCACGTCCCAGTCGTCCAGTCGATCGTCGGATTGAAACGCTGCAGCCAATCCCTCCCCAGCAGCACGTCGCAGCCGTCCAACGTCGTCGCCAACATTTTCATGCCAAACCCGAAATTGTCGCTGCACTGTATCTGAATTTTTTGCGCCTCATCTCGGATGGCCAGCGGTGTTCCGTCCACCAACCTTGCATCGATCTCCGGCAGACACCTGGTCAACTTCACCCCAGTTTTTTTGGCCATTGCCAGGTTGACGAGACTGTGGATCGCCCCACCGTCAACGAAGATTTTTATCTTATAACCGTTAACCCTCCCTACCACCAGCACAGGGTAGTCCACGTGTTCACCCACGTTATTTGTCCGGTTCTGGTCGATAGCTCTGATCGGTACCACGACCCGGTGTGGATGGTGATTATCGGGCGACAGGGTCTCGTCAGTAGGTGGCCCGTCTGCTACTGACTCGTATCTTTTCCCGACCCTTCTCCGTCGTTCTTCTTCCCCTGCTTAAGCCTCGGGCAGTCTTTTTTCAGGTGGCCCAGCTGGTTGCACAAAAAGCACGGCCCAAGGGCTCGGCTCGGTGCATCCACGCCGTTGATCGTGGCTTGCTGAGTCGGTCCGCGAAATCGAGGGCCCTCCCGGGAGCTCGATCACGCCCAGTGCATCAGCGCATCCGGTGACTCGGCTTCCCAGACGGCGTCATTGAAGCTTCGTGGCCGGGTTCGTCGGACCTCGTATTGTATCTTGTATTTCAGGCCCGCCACATAGCGATCCAACCGCTCTGCGTCGCTCATGTCGTCCACCTGGTCCGCCAAGTTGCAGAATTTGCTGGTGTAGTCTTGGACTGAAGTCAGCTGCTTCCAGGTACGCAGCTGCATGCGAGCAGAGTCCGAGGCGGATATGTGCTCGAATCTGGTTTGCAAGGCGGCGCCCCACTCCTTCCATGTGCGTATCGTGGCCGTCCCAAAAATCGATGTTGCCTGATGCGTGACAGGTGTTGAAGTCCCGTCGTTCGCACGTGCTGTTCCTGCCGAAGTCCCCTTGTGTTGCAGCGTTCCCCTCCACCACTCCAGCGCCGGTCCTCGCAACAGTGAAACTGCAAAATTAATGCGGGTGGCGTCGTCATAAATCATAGCAGCATTAAAGAACACCTCCACACCGAACAACCACGCAGAAACAGTGACAAACTTATCACTCGGGTTAAACAGGGGCGGGTTTGTCGGCTTGATTTTCACGAAAGTCGTTGCTGCCATCGGGGCCGTTGGCATTGCTGCTGGTGTCAGAATATTATCTTATGTTCTAGCCTGTAGTGGGGTGCTCTATAGCGAGTACAACCCTTCTAGGGTTTTGCTATTTGTATCCTCATTCCTGCTAGTTCAATCCTCTTTCTTCTTCTAACTTTTGACAGCTGGCGTCGCCGTCGTCGTCGCTGCTGCACGTGGCGGTACTGCACGCGACTGTTGTGGCGACTGTTCCTGCTGCGCCTGCCTCGCCTCATCCGCATCCATCTCGCCTTCCAGCTCGCTCCAGACCCGCTCATCTGGTGTAGTGCTGCTACTTGCGTCGTCCACGACAGGCGACTCCTGGCGCGCTTTACCACGCGCCTGGTGTAGTTCGGCGTTTTCCTTCCGTAGACGCTCCATCTCTGCAGTCATACCCTGCAAGTTGGCCTGCATCGCACGGAACTCTTGCATGAACTCGTTGAACTCGACCTGTTCCATGTGCCTCAGGCTTCGTCGAACGGGCAGGGGGTGGCTCGCGATTTTTTTGACTTCGGTGAAGGCGTTAATGCTATCGTAATCGGAGTGGAATAATCAGATCTATTCCACGGGCCGACCGCTTAACAGCCCACCAAGTCTATCGCTCCCCTTCTACAAACTACCCCGAAAACGCGAGGGTAACCTAGGACTTTAGGCTCTGATACCAAGTGTTATAAGTTGTGAAAGGAAAGAGTGCGCAGAACTCAATAGTGCGGAAGTGATTACAACGTCTGAATGAACAACGAGGCCTAGACATAATATAGCAAGTTTAGCTAGGCCGAGGTCGCGGGGTCGCGGGATGGTTGGGTGTAGGTTCGGGGTTGGAAAACCCGAAAGCGACGCGGTGGTGGCTCAGAATGCAAGGTCGGCGGGCCGAGCCTGGTTTTCCGAAAGTCGGAGTTGTACGCGTACAGTGTGACCCAGTAAGGAATCCGGAAAATTCCTTACATAGAGCATAACAGGTTTGGTTGGCGAGAGTCCCAACCACACCCTCCTGAAGGAACAAGGGCTCAAAATGTGCACAGTTTGCCTTCTTCGGCAATTCAGGTCGTGTGATTTCCATAGTACGCGAAGCGATTAGAGTATGCAAAGAGATAGAATAAAACGCCACTACAGCATAGGCAATGAGCATTTTCACTTTTATTCCTAGCTCTTTCCCAAACATCGCATTTGGACCTACGCGTCCCCCACGCTTCTCCCCACCGTCTCTCACACACCTCCCCACGCACACGCCCACTCTTCCCACCGTCGCCCAAGCTTTCCCCCACCGTCGCTCACGCTTCCCCTTATCGCCGCTCACGCTTCCTCCGGCCTTCCCCCACACCGTCGCTCACGCCTTTCCCCACCTTCCCTCACGTTTCCCCTCTCATCGCCCACGATTCCTCCCACCGTCGCCCACGCTTCGGAGCACCGTCACCCACGCTTTCCCCACCGTCGCCCACGCTTCCCCCCACCGTCGCCCACGCTTCCCCCCACCGTCACCCACGCTTCCCCCCACCGTCGCCCACGCTTCCCTCCACCGTCGCCCACGCTTCCCCCCACCGTCGCCCCCGCTTCCCCCCACCGTCGCCCACGCTTCCCCCCACCGTCGCCCACGCTTCCCCCACCGTCGCCCACGCTTCCCCCCACCGTCGCCCACGCTTTCCCCCACCGTCGTCCATGCTTCCCCCCCACCGTTGCCCACGCTTCCCCCCACCGTCGACCACGCTTCCCCCCACCGTCGCCCACGCTTCTCCCCACCGTCGCCCACCGCCACCGTCGCCCACCGCCACTGTCCCCCACGCTTGCCCTCCCATCGTCCTCGCTTAGCCTTCCCGCCGACCTCCCTTCTCTCCTCCTCTCTCCAGGTCGTCATCACTCCCTTGCCCATCACGTTCCCCCTCTTCACCATCGCTTCTCTACCCATGCCGCCCACCCTCTCATCCCTTCCCATCGCGTGGGGTGTGGGAGGGTGCGTGGTCAGCAGCACCCTTCCGTCGCATACACGTTCATTCATTACCCCTTCCCTCATCTCTTCATTCCTCATCTCCCCATCCCTCATCTCCTCATCCCTCACCTCCCCATCCCTCTCCTCCCCAGCCCTCTCCTCCCCATCCCACACCTCCCCATCCCTCATCTCCTCATCCCTCATCTCCCCATCCCTCATCTCCCCAATCCGCCTCACCCCATTCCGCCCCGCCCCACCCCATTCCGCCCCACCCCTTTCTGCCCCACTCCATTCCGCCCCACCCCTTTCTGCCCCACCCCATTCCGCCCCACCCTAGCCTCCTCCCCAGCCTCCTCCCCACCCTCCTCTCCAGCCTCCTCCCCACCCTCCTCCCCAGCCTCCTCCCCACCCTCCTCCCCACCCTCCTCCCCACCCTCCTCCCCAGCCTCCTCCCCACCCTCCTCTCCAGCCTCCTCCCCAGCCTCCTCCCCAGCCTCCTCCCCACCCTCCTCCCCACCCTCCTCCCCACCCTCCTCCCCACCCTCCTCCCCACCCTCCTCCCCAGCCTCCTCCTCACCCTCCTCCCCACCCTCCTCCCCACCCTCCTCCCCACCCTCCTCCCCACCCTCCTCTCCAGCCTCTCTTCCTCTCCTCCCTCCTTCTTCTCCCCCAAGCGTCCTCCCTACCTCCCTTCCTCCCATCATCACTTCCTCCCTTCCTCCCATCATCACTTCCTCCCTTCCTTCATTCCTGCATTCCTCACTTCCTCCCTTCCTCCGTTCCTCCCTTCCTCATTTGCCAGTTGTCATTCTTTTGCATGCTTGCTTCCCTTATACTTCAGCCACGTCACATCTGACTTCTCTTGATTTGTGTTTGGACAGATCTGCTCTGCATCTGGTTGTGCATGTGGTGGCTGTCAGATAGTAACACACATATAGCCATGCCATATATCAGATTTTTTTTTTATAATACAGGATTATGAGCCTCAGAGCAGTCATACACATGACCAATACCAAGGAGTTCAACAATTAATATATTACCGTATCTGTAAAGTAAGGGGAATCACCAGACTCGAGAAGGGAACAAAGCTAGGGGGTGTATGTGTAATGTTGCTTTCCGGTTTTGTCTGCTACACTGCAAGCAATAAACCAGGCCGTGGTAAAGCCACATCTGGTGCTGAGCACCTGTAACTGCATTGGGGGGTATGGGGGTGAGTGAAGGGGGAAAGACAGTAAACGGAATGAGCAGAGGGGAAGAGAAGAAGCAGCGGGGGACAGATTGAACAGAGGGGAAGAGAGGAAGCAGGGGGGAACAGAGTGAGCAGAAGTAAAGAGAGTGAGCAAGGGGGAAGAGAGTGAGCAGAGAAGAAGGGGAGGGAGCAAGGGTGAAACAGAGGGAGCAAGGGTGAAACAGAGGGAGCAGGGGTGAGCAGGGAAGGCGATAGGGGGAAGCAGGGAAGGAGATAGGGGGAAGTAGGGAAGGGGATGGGGGGGAGCAGGGAAGGGGATGGGGGTGAGCAGGGAAGCGGATGGGGGGATGCTGGGAGGGGGACGGGGGAAGGAGGAAAGGGGACGGGGGGAAGCAGGGAAGGGGAAGGGGGAAAGCAGGGAAGGGGATGGGGGGGAGCAGGGAAGGGGTTGGGGGGAAGCAGGGAAGGGGATGGGGGGAGCAAGTCGGAGGATAGGGGGAAGCAGCGCAGGGGATACGAGGAAACAGGGAAAAAGGGAAGGGTGTATGTGCGGGTTGGAAAGGGGGCGTGACAAGTGTGCGAGATGGGAAGGGAGAAGGGAGGGATGGCGAGGGCAACGAGGAGTGGAAGGGAGGGCGACGGGGGGAGAGAGAGACGGGGATTGCGAGGGGACGAGCGCGAGACGAAGGGGGGCAACGGGCGGAAGGGAGGGAAAGAGAGCGTGAAGGGGGAAAGAGAGTGAGAAGGGGGGAAAGAGAGTGAGCAAGGGGAAAGAGAGTGAGCAGGGGGGAAGAGAGTGAGCAGGGGGGGAGAGAGTGAGTATAGGCGTGAGTTGGGAAAAAAGGGGCGAGCAGAGGGGGTAAGAGAGCGTGAAGGGAGAAAATGGGTGAGAAATGGGGAAAGTGGGGTTAGAACAAGGGGAGTGAGCAGAGGGAAAGAGAATGAGGAGGGGGGAAGCGAGTGAGGAGGGGGAAAGAGATTGAGGAGGGGGGAAGCGAGTGAGCAGGGGGGAAGAGAGTGAGCAGGGGGGAAGAGAGTGAGCAGGGGGGAAGAGAGTGAGCAAGGGGGAAGAGAGTGAGCAAGGGGGAAGAGAGTGGGAAGAGAGTAAGCAGGGGGGAAGAGATTGAGGAGGGGGGAAGCGAGTGAGCAGGGGGGAAGACAGTGAGCAGGGGGGAAGAGAGTGAGCAGGGGGAAAGAGAGTGAGTAGGGGGGAAGAGAGTGAGCAAGGGGGAAGAGAGTGAGCAGGGGGGAAGAGAGTGAGCAGGGGGAAAGAGATTGAGCAGGAGAGAGTGAAAGGCAATGGGAGGGGAAATGAAGGTGACGGGTGGGGAAGCGAGTGTGACGGGGGGAAGCGAGTGCGGCAGGCGTGGAAGGCGACGGGAGGGGGAATCGAAGGCATCGGGGGGCAGAAGTGAAGGCGACGGGAGGGGGAAGTGAGGGAGAAGGGAGGGGGAAATGAAGGCGACGGGAGGGGGAAATGAAGGCGACGGGAGGGGAAGTGAAGGCGACGAGAGGGGGAAGTGAAGGCGACGGGAGGGGGAAATGAAGGCGACGAGAGGGGGAAATGAAGGCGACGGGAGGGGGAAATGAAGGCGACGGGAGGGGGAATTGAAGGCGACGGGAGGGGGAAGTGAAGGCGACGGGAGGGGGAAGTGAAGGCGACGGGAGGGGGAAATGAAGGCAACGGAAGTGGGGGGGGAGTGAAGGCGACGGGGGAGAAGTGAAGGCAACGGGCAGAGCGAAGGCGACGGGCACGCGGCGAGCTGCGGAAGCGATGGCGACGACGCGGGCGAAAGAGAGCGGAAGCGTGGGAAAGGAAAGCGAGGGCGAGGGGAGGGTCACGTTTGGGCGAACGGTTGCGATTCGATTTTCGCCACGAGTTTACGCTACGGAGTAGTTGCACAATAACATTCATTTCGACACAATAATCTTCACCCAGCAGAAACTAGCTTTGCGCGTCATCATTGCAAATCCGCGCCACCCAAATCGTATGGCGCATCTACTCCCTTTTGAGTGAACGCCGACGCCCTGCCCTGTCTATAGGTACGGTCTATGCCTAATATGTCAGAATGTTATAATCTAGCCTGTAATGGGGTGCTCTATAGCGATTACAACCCTGTTAGGGTTTGCTATATGTATCCCAACTGCTGCTAGTGAAACTGCTCCCTTCTTCATTCCTCATTCTACACATGCTATCAGAGCATCTACGCTCCTGGCATGTGGGCCCACCTAACTGCTTCTGCTGCTACTCTCTGTGTTGCACGCCCCGTGGCGTGCGACGGATTTTTTCTTCCCGTCGGCCGCCCTCTTGTCGAGCCCTCCTAGAGGCCCCTCTCATGGCCCCTCGAGGCCCCTTCGCGGCCCCGTCGCCGCCCCTAGCGGCCCCGTTGCCGCCCTTCCAGGCCCCTCGCGGCCCCTTCGCGGCCCCGTCGCCGCCCCTCGCGGCCCCGTCGCCGCCCCTAGCGGCCCCGTCGCCGACCTTTCAGGCCCCTCGCGGCCCCTTTGCGGCCCCGTCGCCGCCCCTAGCGGCCCGTCGCCGCCCTTCCAGGCCCCTCGCGGCCCCTTCGCGGCCCCTTCGCGGCCCCGTCGCCGCCCCTATCGGCCCCGTCGCCGACCTTTCAGGCCCCTCGCGGCCCCTTCGCAGCCCCGTCGCCGCCCCTAGCGGCCCGTCGCCGCCCTTCCAGGCCCCTCGCGGCCCCTTCGCGGCCCCGTCGCCGCCCCTATCGGCCCCGTCGCCGCCTCCAGCGGCCCCGTCGCCGCCCCTTGCGGCCCCGTCGCCGCCCCTTTCGGCCCTGCCTCGACCCTGCCCCGGCCCCGCCCCGGCCATGCTCCGTCGCCTGTCGCGGTGCACCGGGGGCCCGTGCACCGCCCCCCCCCTCTTTTCCCGTCGCCCGTCGCGGCTCCCTGGGGGGCCGCGACCTGGGGGGGGGGGGGGGGGGGGCGAGCGTCGCCCCTTCTGCCGCCTGTTTTGGCGCCCAGGGAGGCCGCGCGTCCCCCCCCCCCCCCCCCCCCCGTACCCTCCCTACCCGCCGTCCCGCCCTGCCCTGTGTTAGGGTCTAGGGGTGGCGAGTAGGGGGTGGCGGGTGTGTGGTCTCCCCTGCTCCTCCTCCTCCTCTGTCTCCCACTGCTGCAGCTGCAGCTGAGGGGGGTGGGTGTGTGGGAGTCGACGGAGTGGTGCTAGGGGGTGGGGTGTGAGTGAACCTAGGGTACAGCAGGGGGTGTGTAAAAGGGGGGTGCTGTGGGAGTGGAACTAGGGTTTGAGCAGGGGGTGTATGTCGAGGGTGTGGGGCAGCTGGAGGAGGTTGTGTGAAGGTAGCTGTCAAGTCGCCTGCAGCGCTTGTAGTCCGTCGCCCTTGCTTCGGTAGCCAGTGAACCTGTTTCACCAGTCGCCAGTGGGTCCGTTGCTCCTGCCGCTCGTCTATAGCCGCGGAGCCAGTTACTCCAGTAGTACGTCGCCCTTGCTTCGGTAGCCACTTAGTCAGCCGCTCCTGTGCCCGTGCCTCTGCAGCTTCAGTCGTTGCCTCCCATCTTCTCTCCCTCCACAGTTCCTCCTCCTCCTCACTTGCCCGCTGTGATTAGCTCTAGCTTTGCTCGCTATTGTGAACTCCTGCTCTATGCCTGCTTGCTCATTGTGCTGATAACACCCCACTTTGGCTATGGGGGTGTGTCAGAATGTTATAATTGTCTAGCTTGCAGTGGAGTACTCTATAGCGAGTACAACCCAATTAGGGTTTCCTACATGTATGCCAACTGCTGCTAGTGCAATCCCTCTCTTCTTCATTCCTCATTTCTTCACAAAGCCGAAACACGCACTATCGAGAGTGAAGACGAAAAGGCAGAAGAAAGGCGAAGGGACAGACGGTTACGAGGAGCATCTGGACCGTCGGGCAGACAGCATCAGGCAGCAGCAGTGGCGAGGATTCTGCCCGAACAGTTACGTAACCACTCGGTGTCGCACGGTTGGATTTCGCTGCAATGATGAATGATGAATGATGCGATGGTCGCGAGTGGTAACGGTGCTGACTGAGGTGCTACAGTGATGTACGCGTTGAGCAGAGATGCGAAGTAAGGAAAAGGGAATTTCCTTACACACATATAGACCAGACCGTTTACCTCTCGCTAGCGTGTGTGTCTGGCTATATTAGGTTGTGATTAACTAGCTGCACTATCTACAGAGAGCTCCGTTTCAGATTGGAAGACACTATCTAAATACAGCATGAAGCAGCAATCACATGTGCGAGAGGATGGAGTATTATTATCCACACGATTTTTGTGTTGCGTCGTCGCATCGCAGGACTGCCTAGCAGCAATTTCAGGCCTTAATTACGAGCGGGCGAAGCGCTCTATCGAGTTCGGCGTCGCGTCACATGCCAGCCGTGTCAACTGTACAGTGATCGGGTCTGGTGTGGCGTGGCCCACAAAAATGTCCACTGCTGATTAGACTTCTGTCACCAGCTTCAGCGAATGTGGTCTGGCGGGTCGTTTGTTCGCCAGGAAGTTTGCAGCTTCAGCAGTTCCCGAGATTTCATTCACACGTTTGATTCGCTGGATGCCCTTGTCCAGTGTCCGCCAATCAGGCCTTCTGCACTAGGCGAAACGATCCAAACTGGTTCCAGGAGAGAATTACTGTATAACCTGGGTCGGTGATTCATCCTTACTCGCGTGGTCTCGAATTACTCAAGTGGCCACCGAATTTGGTGATAATACTCAAGTGGCCACGCCAGGGAATTCCCAGTGCCTTTTTTTTTTTCCTGGCGCATTACCCCACAAGGGTTCGTATTCCCGAAACCTCTGTAAATTGCGCGATATTCAATTTACGCGATGATTTATAAAGGATATTTTCGCGTGATGATTTATATTCGAAATTTATGTTCGTGACTCTATTTGACCGCGCTTGATTGGACGCGCATATAGTCGACCAATCATGCGCGGTCATTAATGGTCGGGCACATCATATATTAATGCCCGATCATATATTTCCGCGATTATAAACTGCAATGCCCGGGCGTCAATGCGCGGGACATTTAATGACCGCGCATGATTGGTCGATTATATGCATGGTTCTTTGTTTTGCAATGCGCGTCCAATCAGGCGCGGTCATATGGGGTCACGATCATAAATTTCGGATATTGAAGATCGCGCATTAATCAGTGACAGAGGTTTCGGGGATACAAATCCTTGTAGGGTAATGCGTCGGGTAAAACAAAACCAGCGGGAATCCCCTGCCGTGGCCACTCGAGTAATTATCACCAAATTCGGTGGCCACTCCAGTAATTCGAGGCCACGCGAGTAAATATGAATCACCTATTCCAGGCTCTACAGTAATTCTCTCTGGTTCCGGCGGTCGCAAAGAAATTCGTCGCCCTTCTACTGTACCGCCGAATTTTCATTCCTTCCCAAGCCAAGCCCAACCAATCAGAGACTCCCCTGGCGACCGCCCAGTGTTGTATTTGGACTTGTTCGTGTATACGAAACTTCATCCGATCCGCTCCGCAAGCGACCGAATCTGTGACCCACGATTCACGATTCACAATTCACGAACTTGACGAACTTGCGTTGCGAAACCTCTCCCCGCCAATCTCACTCCTTGCCATGCCAAACCAGAAATAATGAAATAATACTCCAAGAACTACAACAGGTGCAAAACCGCTGCATGCATGGCGGGACATGTCTCTTCTTGCTTCCAGCAACCCACGTTTCGCCCTTCGAATCGTCCTTTTACCGTGTCCAGCGTTCGTTTTTAGAGTCGTCCTTTTTTTGCGGTGGTGGGGCTTGCCTTCGTAGACGGATCGAGTCGACATGCGGAATTCATCAACTGGATAAATGCCATGCGGCATTTCATGGCCAATGAGGAGATGTTTTTAATTATACGGCGATCGCGGATCCACGGCTTCAGGTGACATCGAAAAGCACTTATTTTCTCGGATCCACGACTTAACATGCTTCCAATTAGACCGCCAGGATATTTTTCGATTCCACCGCAGCAATTCTCCCAAGGGGATCACCCGCTTCCGGACACTTCCTCAGGTGCTGCAGCTGTCTCAATTCCCATCATGCAGCCCCCGCCGACTGACTCCGCTCAGCTAAGCTCCCCGCAGCCTGAGCCTCCGCCGGTCCCTCCGCAGCAGGAGAGCGGAAGCCCCCCCGAAGGCAGTCACGCGCCCGCCGTTCCGCGCCCCACGCGGGGCATCTCCCCGCTCCAGCAGGCGCTAGGGCGGCGCCCGCGCGTGCTGCTGGCGGCGAGCGGGAGCGTGGCGGCGATCAAGTTCCACATCGTGGCGCGCGGGCTGGTGGAGTGGGCGGAGGTGCGCGCCGTGAGCACGCGATCCGCGCTGCACTTCATCGACCGGCCCGCGCTGCCCGTGGAGATGCCGCTATTCACGGACGAGGATGAGTGGCGGCAGTGGAACCGCCTGGGCGACTCGGTGCTGCATATCGAGCTGCGCAAGTGGGCTGACGTCATGGTCATCGCGCCGCTCTCCGCCAATACACTCGCTAAGGTGATCCGCCGCGCCGGACCGTGGGATCTTGTCGTCGCCTTCGCGAAGGCGACGGGGAGAGCTGGATCGCGATCCAAACACGCGAATTGTCGCATTACGAGACAGCTTGCATCTTCGATCCAATCCTGCCGTTTCCCAACATCTCGCCCTCGGTTCCTCTCAAAACTCCTCGTCCCCTCACACTCCGATTCCCCCATTTCCAGCCTAATTCTCCCCCCATTCTCTCCCCCTCTCACCCCTTCCCTCCCCCTCTCACCCCTTCCCACCTCTTTCCTCCCCTCCCTCTCCTCCCTCCCCGTCCCCGCTCTCCCCGTCGCCGTCACGGCGTCAGGTGGCGAGCGGGATCTGCGACAATCTCCTCACCTCCATCGTGCGCGCGTGGGACTTCGGCAAGCCGCTGCTGCTCGCGCCCGCCATGAACACGCACATGTGGACGTCGCCATTCACGGCGCGCCACGTGGCGATCCTGGAGGGGCTGGGCGCGGAGCTGGTGTCTCCAGTAAGCAAGCGCCTGGCGTGCGGGGACGTGGGCACGGGCGCCATGGCGGAGCCCGCCAGCATCGAGGCGGCCGTCCGCCAGGCCATCGCCGCCATCCGCGCGGAGAAGCGCCAGGCGCTGGAGGCGGGGCCGTCCAAACCCTAACGGCCGCGTGAAGCGGGTAATGAATGCGTGTGCGTTTCTGGATTCAGCTCCCTCGACGTCTTCCAGCACCTTCGGGCTACCAGGAGCTGTAGTGGTGGTTCAGCCGCGAATGGCAAGCATCTATCTGGCGTGGAGAGGTCAGAGGGCCGATCTGGATGAGGCAAGCAGCGGGTGAGCGGCGTCACAGGCCAAGCGATTTGCGCTTAGGGTTTCCAACACACGGCCGAGGAGTGGGCCTGGTCGGGGCAAAGTTAGTAGCTTGCTGTGCTGTTGGCAGCATGGCATTCAGAGCTGCTCATGTTGGGGCGCTTTTAGCATGATGGTCGTAAAGCAGCAGTTTGGGCGATAGATTGGATATGTCTGTTGGGCCAAGAATAAGTAGCTGGGTGGCATACGCCCACAACACCCGGTTGCATACACATGGGATGTGCCATGGGGTTGCAGAGGAGGGCTTACAAAGAAGATGGAATGTTTTGGCAGCAGAGGTGTGTGTGCACCAATAATAGGGAGAGGACGCAGCAGCTGGTGGGCCTGAGTCGCGCAAGGGAGCCAGCCTGTCGTGCATGAGATTCTCTCCTCTCCGTTCCCTCCTTTCCGCCCCTCCCTCATTTCCTCCCCTGCCTTTCCCTTGTGTGTTACTGTTGGGGCATATAAGTCTAAATGTGGCCTATATGGCATATAGCCTGCCACCAGCTTCGCATTTCTAGCTGTTCATTGTGCTCGGGTCAAGTCAGGTCGTTTTCAGTCTGGATATTTGTGCATTTCTGGTTGCAGTTGCCCTTCGGTCAAACAAGGGGCTCTAGAATGTTTTCCAACCTTATGTAGGGTAACTGCAACCAGAGTTGTACCAGTGTGCTTGTTGCAACATTTTTTTGGATTGTGAGACGCCTTTTGCAAAAGGGTCACGAAGGTGGCCCTTAATTCCGTCAATATATTTGACATGAAACGAATACTCTGTACTGGAGGTCGCTGGAAACAACTTCGCACGACAGCTGTGTCTGAAACCCGAGACATTCATATCGCGGACAATGTTGGGTTCACTTCCCACCTCGACAATCACCAGACTCGAGTCTTGAAGAACCCGCCATTCGAGCTTCCCAACACAGCGGAGAGTTGCTCTGTCTCGTGCATTCGGCAGAGTTAAACGTTGCACGCGAACGTCCAAACACGCTCTCATTACTAGCACCACGCGTCACTGCGTTCTCGTGAATCACGCGCGCTGCCAGGACTGGCTGGCTGCAACGGGCGGCGGCACTCCACCTTTAGGATCCGTCATGGCCTCGATACCCGCGATGCGCTCGACGCCGTCGGTGGGCGTCACGGCTTGCTCGAGTCATCGCGTCCCACATGCCCTCATGAGCCCCACCAGCGGCAGCAGCTTCTCTTGATCTCAACATCAACCAGCTGAAATCCTCCGAGCCTCACAGATGCTGCTGCGAAACTCATATCTTTCTCCGTCGCGGCTAGCCCCACAGGCGGTACCGCCTGGAGCGCCCCCTTAGTTCCGCCGCCTCTTCCGCCGAAATGAGCAGGCCCCCGCGGAGCATTGCGCGCGCACTCACACACTCCCAGCCATGCGACTCGCGTGGGTGCTGGCGATAGAGGCGGCGGCGGCGGTGGTCGTGGTGGCGTGCGAAATAGCTCTCGTGCAGCAGCTTCTAACGCGAATAGGTTGGCAGGAGTGGCAAGAGGCCGAGGGGGGCAGCGGCGAGAACGGAGAGAACGGGTTTGGCGGGGATGGGAGTGCGAGCGGCGATGGAGGGACTGGCGAGGGAGGAGGGCGTGGTGCGTACCCTAGCTTGAGTGACATGGTGATTCGCGATCCTGCTTTGCTGACTAGGCACATGACGCGGCTGTACGGGATCTGAGATGACACGCTCTGGTGAAGCACGCCATGTTTCAGTTCAGAGATACTACATGCATGGCGGTATGGTAACGGACGGCACCCACAGATGGCAGAACAGAACACATTCAGCAAATAGATGGCGTGGCATGGCATGTGTTATAGCAACTTCACCATGATCAGTCTTGTATTGTTGAATATGATAGAAGCAATGACATACTCTTGAATTTGGTGCCCATTCGGGTTCTATTACCACATAGAGCGCTTGTATCTCAAGAATGATAAATCTTCCTCGATCTTTGAAAGCTCCTTACCCCGTGCCTTGAAAAACACTTGCTTGGCTAATCACGTCTATTCCTGGCTGCACCTTTCCTCTCCTCCGCCATCTGCCTGGCAGTGAAGTCCCCTCGCTCCCTCACCCGCCATGCACTGCCATTGAGCCCCACAGCAGCCAGCATGCCTGTCATCATCCTGTGCCGCCGCACCATGAACTCTGGAAGCATGCTCTCATCCATCCCCCCCACCTCACCTCCCCCCCCCCCCCGCCCCGTCCCCCCCCTGCCCGGCCTCCCCCTGCCACCTCCCCTCTTCCCTGGTTCCCCCTGCCCTGGTTTCCCCCTCCTTCGCTCCCCACGTGCCCCCCCTGCCACGCGGCTCTCTCCCTCGCGGCAGCCTCCCTGGCCTGCTTGCGCAGCAGTGCCTGCCACACCATGTCCTCCGCCCCGCCCTCCACTGCCGGACTTCCAAATATGAAATGCCGCTGCACCTGGTGTCACCAGGGCAAGGGATAACAGGAGAGGCGGGAGGGGCGATGAATGTGTGAGGATGAAAGCGAGGCCAAGTGGGAAAAGGGGGTGAACAGCAGAGCAGATGTGTAACAGTGCCTGCAACACCAAGTCCTTTCCAGCTGCGGCCACATTCAAGTGTCTGACTCACATGAGCAGAACAACTCTACCATCCAGCCCAGCAAGATCATTACAACACAAAAACCAAACAGTAACCATGCAAGAACGAGGGGGTTACCTGTCGCAGCTCCCCCCACATGGCTCTCCACTTGCTCTCGTCCAATCGCAGCACGGATGCCAGGTAGCCGGAGCGCGTGGCGAGGTGGGAGGGAACGAAGAGGGCGAAGCGCGTGAAGTCAATGAGGTCCTCGAAGGGCAGCAGGATGCTGTCGCTCACCACCACTGGTATGCACCCGCTCACCATGGCGTTGAAGAGGCGAGAGGATGACACCGTGTTGCCTGCATTGATGCATGAGGGGATGAATAAGGGGTGAGTTATAAAAAGGGAAGCAGAATGCTGTCTGTCGCTCATCACCACTGCGATGCACCCGCTCACCATCGCGTTGAACAGGCGCGATGACGACACCGTGTTGCCTGCATGCAGGGCGATATGGGGGTTGAATGTACTGAATAACAGGCTGAAAAGTGTATTGTACTACAGGGTGAATATCTCGGCACGTATGAGAAACACAGAAAGCAGGCACACGGATGCACGGTGTCATAAGAATGAGCTGCATGGACAGCACCTTCAGGCACAAGACAGAAGCGGCTGTGGCGCATGGCATGCTGCATGGCCTGCACATCCTCCACCGTCACCTCGGTCTCATCCCCCCGCTCCACCGCCTCAAACACCACCCCTTGCTTCCACTGCGGCACTTCAAACAGCTTTGCTAAGCTTCGACGCAGTTCCCTGCCCTGAAAAGGGACGGAAATAGAAAAAGAAAGGAGAGAACACCAGAGATGGAATCTTACATTGCTGTCACAGGAGGACTAATCAGTGAACATTGCTGGCATTGATGCGTTTCGGTCTTTGACTCACATTATTGAAGACTTCTGTTGAACCGCGGAAATAAAGCAAAGTTGTGCGATCAGACCAGCGACCAGGGTCGTCCGGATAAGGCTCCACTAGTGGCGCATACGGTACAATCACATCCTTCATGAAATTCAGATCCTGCACCCAATCGAACAAGCATGGATATGCACAGATTCTTTCATACAAATAAATGCAACATCGGCACGCATTTTGAACTGACAGTTGGCAGGCAGGCATACCTGCAGCGGTGAGAAGGAGAAGTCAGTGGTGAGGGTGCAGAGGGAGGGGAGGAGGCCGTGGAAGGCAGGCAGAGCGCGAGGCATGCTCACTGGCAGCACCACTCGCGGCTGTGCCACTGCCTTCCCGCCACTGCTTATGCTGCTGCTGATGCTGGCAGTTAGAGCATGCAGCCATTTGGTGAGGCTATCGAGGAGATGACTGCAGGAAAGAAAAGGGGAGAGTGGACAAAAAAAAGGCCAGTTGAGGGACGTTGGGATGAGGGCTGCAAGGAGCGTGGGAGAAGGAAAGGAAGCAAAGTAAGCCGCATGCCATTGGCATTTTGAGCCCAATGAGATGTCCTCATGGTTTACATATTACAATTGACATCAGCAGCAACATCTCATCAGCACACACCTAAATTCCTCGCTCAGATGCGGCTTCATGAACACCGGGGCTAACCTCCCTGCTGCTGCCACGTCATGCACTCCCGACCCATCAGGTGTCCCGTCAGGTGGTTTCAACGCCAACAACAGCGCAGCGGGGTTGGTGGGCGTCGCATTGAAGCTAAAGGCGAGCAGCGAGGAGAAGACCGGGAGGAACACCACGTCGGCGTCGCGCGCGTGCGACACGAGGTGCACGGAGGGAGCCGTGCCTGAGAGCAGGGAGAGCGTGAGCCAGTACTCTGCACTGTGCTCCGCTGCAAATGGCACTGCTGGGAATGCCGGCACCAGTGCATGTGACCGCCGCTTCGACCAATACCGCGCCTCCACGTCAGCTAAGGTGTCGGATGGGTTGGAGGGAGGGGAGGCTGAGTTAGCCGCGGGGCGGGTGAGGTCCCACGCTGGCGGCATGCCGTGCTGAGTCAGCAACTGCACGCGGTGGTCCCTCATCCATTCCCCCTGCAGGTATGGCGTTAGAGCGGATAACGAGAGGGCGGAAGGGGGGTGTGGCGGAAGGGGAAGGAGAGGCCCAGGTATGAGGCGCGGGGGAGGGGGCAGGGGGAAGAATTTCTCAAGGGGGAGGGGAGTGCGCGCACCTTGAGGAGCCGGAAGTTGAATTCCGCCGGCAGCGCCGCGAGGAACACCTTGAGGCGCGGGCGCTGCGGCTCGTAGCGCGAAGGGCGCGCGGCGGGGAGGACGTCGGCGCGCAGCACGGCGAGCAGCAGCAGCCCCGCCGCCAGCAGCGCCGCCGCCGCCGCGACAAGCGCGTTCGGCGGGTGCGCGCCGAGCTGCTTCACCCCCGGACGCGACATGCCCGACAACTCTCCGTTACAATCTCTCAGTCGCTCTCACGCGTTCTCACGCGTTCTCACGCGTTTGCGCGCTCTCGCGCTCTCACTTCCAGGATCCTAGATTGTCTTGCTCTCTCCTCTGTCGTTCCCTCACGACGCTTCGACGAAAGCAATGGGGGGAGGCGGATACCGCCGCGGGCCCGCTCCCGGAGTGACATGCGCCTCGCTGCGGCGAGCAGAGGTGCGAAGCCGACGAACGCGCTAGTAACTGACTATTGACAGCGTGGTAGCGGAATGATAGCAACGTAATGATAATCTATTGTAGTCCCGACCCCTAGACACGGGGTGTGAAAACCATTTGACACGTGGCTACAGAGAAGTGCACATAAGAAGCTAGTAAACGGCTGCTACGAATCTTGCCATCGATGCACGCTGCTTGTGAAGCACTGCGCGAAATCACAGCTCTCCCACGGTTCCTTCGGGGCCCACTATATATTGTGTCTTCTTGGAACATATGTGAAATTGTAAGGAATTTCCTCGGCATTCCTTACGGGGCCGACTACATCGCGTACAGCAACAGCCGATTGTTCGCCCGTTACTGCTAACGGAACTTCGCCGACTTCGCGCGCACTGTTTTGCCAAACCTCGCACTGCTGGCATGGCCGTATCGGCCTACGCTTCGGGACTAGCCCGAGCCTCGCTCCAGCGTAGCACTAGCAAGCTCGCACGCACCGCGTTACCGTTTTGCATGTTTCGCGTATAAATGTTCGCTCATGCCTTCGCTCACATTTTGTACTCGTTTGACACCTTAGTGCAATTCTCGCTACTTCGATTCATTGCACCCGTAACACTTGGTTATCAGAGCCCCTTTCTTTCGGACCGCGCATCTCCGCACACCAGGAAATCAACTTTTGATTTTTCACTCGAAGGGACTCACGCACCTTAGCCCCTAGGAGCCGCTGTCCTCGCGTTCTCTCGTAAACGCGTGCAGCCACGACTGCGCCTAGACTAAGGCGAGCCGACGCCCTTCGTCATGGCTGAAAATATCGACGTCACCACCCTCACGCAGGAGCGTTTGAACGATCTGCTGCGACAGCTGCACGAAAGCTCCGAGGAAATCGCGGCATTAACGGCAGAACGCTCGTCGCTGCAAAATGACCTCATGAGGGCACAACAAGCACAATCTCAAGCACCTGGCACTCCGATTCAACCTGCACCCTCAACATCACAACACGGGAGTGTGGGGCAACCCGTGAGCGCGGCCAGTGATGGCGTCGTCCGCCCCGACGGAGACGACGACCACGGCACGACACACCCCAGAGCGACGCCTGCGGCCCCAAGTCAGCCTCGCGTCACGATTTCGGCACCAACCCACGATTCGGGACTGCCGTCATCGATGCCACTGAAGCCGCAGCGCCCGCCATGCTTCGACCCGAGTCAACGGGGTGGTCCTACCGTCCAGGCGTGGTTGTTCACAATGAATGTCTTCTTCGACGCCAACTACGTCTCGGAGGACTCGGCGAAGATTCGATACGCCGTGTCGTTGCTGCGAGGACCCGCCATGGACTGGTGGCGCGTCATCGTCACGAAGCCGACCGACTACGCGACACTACCGACACGGGAAGGACAAACCGGACCCTGGGGGCCGTCGTATTTCGTGGAGGTGCCCCAGTATCGCACGTGGGACGCGTGGTGCGCAGGTCTGCGCGCTCGATTTGAGCCAATCGCGGCCTCGATCTCGGCGCGACAGAAGCTCCGCACTTGGCGCCAACTCGGTTCCGTCCAGGATTACACGAGCGGATTTCTGGCGCTATGCGAGCAGGTGGGCTTCATGCATGAGAGCGAACGCATCGACCGCTACATCGGCGGCCTGAAGCAGGACATCGCTCAGGAAATCCAGCTTCGCGGCGTCACTGAGTTTCAGGAAATTCTCGCTATGGCGGAGAAGCTCGACTTCTTTCGCCGACCGAGACCGGGGTCCTACGGAAACAACAACTGGGGACATCGGCCTCGTGGGACGAACGAAAGCGCCACGATACGCGCCGTCGCCGCAAATGCCGCTGCCGCACCGTTCAAAGGGCGCTGCTTTGCGTGCAATCGGCCGGGACACCGCAAGAGCGAATGCCCGGAAAACGCTAAGGGAAAGGGGGAAGCTGAGCAGCAGACACAGACCAAGCAGCAGGGAAACGCTGGAAGTCAGTAGCAGACGGGCCCTCTACTGACAGGTCACGCCGCTCGCCCGACCCAACCGACCCTCACCGAGTGATTGTGCCGGTTCACGCAATCGACCACACCCGGCCGAATAAGGAGGGTACCACGGTAGACAGCCCTATACTGCTCAGTGGGAAAATTGGGACGGACTTAGTTAAAGTCTTCGTAGACGGGGGAGCCAGCCACAGCCTCATTAACACTGCTACAGCACGAAAACTGCGACTGCCACTGGACCGATGCTTACCTGAGATCGACGCACGACTGGTAGACGGCACGCCGCTGGCAATACGGGAACGCGTAGACCGAGTTCGGATTCGATGCGGGGGTAACTTCACGTTTAGTCAGGAAATGCTCGCAACGACCCTCGACGGAACCGACATTTTACTCGGGCGTGATTGGCTGCGACGACACAATCCGCGAATTGACTGGACGACGGGTGACTGCACCGTGCGAGTAAACGGTAACAACATCGCCTTACCTCGCTGGGGCTCGCCTGAGTCTTCGTCGGTGCGTGTCAATGCGATCACGATGAAACGCGCTGTTGCGGCCGGAGCCGACGTGTACGCGGTTGACATTCGGGAAGCCGAGGCAGCAGACAAGGGGGGCGATTTACAGAAACTGCTGACCGACGTACCGAGTGACCTGGCGGCACTGTTAAAACAGTACAGTGACATTTTCCCGGACGACCTGCCGACGGGACTGCCACCTCAGCGACCGCACGATCACAGGATAGAACTGGAACCGGGGGCACAGCCAACAGTACAGCGACAGTTCCGACTGACCCAACCCGAACTAGACGAACTAAGGAAGCAGCTCGATTACCTGCTCGAGAAGGAATTCATTCGCCCTAGCTCGTCGCCCTTCGCCGCACCAATACTGTTCACACCGAAAAAGGACGGGGGATTTCGCATGTGTATCGACTACAGGGCACTGAACAGGGTTACCATCAAATCCCGTTACCCCATCCCACGAGCCGACGAACTGATCGACCAACTGCGAACAGCCCGGGTTTTCTCGAAAATCGACCTCCGAGGAGGCTACCACCAAATCCGCGTCAACCCACCCGACTGCCCTAAAACCGCATTCCGAACACGCTACGGATCTTTCGAATACACCGTCATGCCATTCGGACTGACCAACGCCCCCGCCACTTTCCAAATGACCATGAACGAAGCATTCCGCCCACTTTTAGATAAGTGCGTCATCGTTTATCTGGACGACATACTGATTTACAGCCCTGACAGAGCACAGCACTTACAAGACATCGAAGCAGTTTTTAAAATCCTGAGTGAGAACCGCCTACTAACCAAAGCATCTAAGTGTGAGTTTTTACAGGACCGCCTGGAGTTTTTGGGACATGTTATTTCAGCTGCAGGAGTGGAAATAGACCCGAAGAAAATTGCGACGATTCAGGCTTGGCACGCGCCGACCAACTTGACCGAGTTGCAGAGTTTCCTGGGGTTCGTCAACTACGTGCGCCGGTTCGTCCCCGACATGGCGAAGCTGACTGCCCCGTTGACCGACCTGCTGAGGAAGGGGGTTGAGTACACGTGGGGGGAGAAAGAGCAAGCTGCCTTCTCGGCCCTCAAAAATATTTTGTGCTCCCCGCCCGTCCTTCACATTGCAGATCCCCACCGTCCGTTCGAGCTCGTCACCGACGCAAGTGACATCGCTGTGGTAGCAGTGTCAGAACTTATAGCTTACTTGTTTCTGTAGGCTATAGTGGGGTATCCCATAGGGGGTACAACCCAATTAGGGTTTCCTATTTGTACTCACTTCGTTCATAGTCATTCCATTCTCGTTCTTTGTTTCCACATGGAATCAGAGCAGGTTCCCTCCTAGGGACTGCTTCTAGGGCCCACCGAACCGCGCCCCGAGGCGCGTTTTTTTTTTAGCGACCCGTCGTGTCGCCCCTAGCGGACCGTTGCGCCGCCCTTCCCCTCGCGGCTCCGCCGCCCTTCCCTAGCGGCCCCGCCGCCCTTCGATCGCGGCCCCGCCGCCCTCTGCTACGCGGCCCCGCCGCCGCCCTTCGATCGCGGCCCCGCCGCCCTCGGCTACGCGGCCCCGCCGCCCTCTGCCTCGCGGCCCCGCCACCCTCTGCTACGCGGCCCCGCCGCCCTCTGCTACGCGGCCCCGCCGCCCTTCGATCGCGGCCCCGCCGCCCTTTGCCACGCGGCCCCGCCGCCCTCTGCTACGCGGCCCCGCCGCCCTCTGCTACGCGGCCCCGTCGCCCTTCGATCGCGGCCCCGCCGCTCTCTGCTACGCGGCCCCGCCGCCCTCTGCTACGCGGCCCCGCCGCCCCCTGCTACGCGGCCCCGCCGCTCTACTCGGTCGCGGCCCAGCCGCCACTCTGCTACGCGGCCCCGCCGATCCGCCCAGCAGCAGCCGCCGCCGCCTGAGCCGCCGCCG